AACGTCCCCCGTGAAAAGTCTGTATCTTTGTATTGTAGGCATTGTCAACTTTAAAGGGACACTACAAGCTTGTAACGCAAAGGTCCACCCTCATATTTCGGTATTTTCGTATTGTCACGGACACGATGCGTTTGTAACACGAACGGCCACCCTGAAATCTCTGCATCTTTACATTGTAGGCGCTGTGAACTTTAAGGACACTATAGAAGTTTGTAACGCGAACATCCACCGTGAAATTTGTGTATCTTTGTATCGTAGGCGCCGTGAACTTTACGGACGCAGTGAGTTAGCAACGCGAACGTCCACCCTTCAATTTCTGTATCTCTGTATTGCGGCATTGTGAACTTTAAAAATGGTTTGTAACGCGAACGTCCACCCTCAAATCTCTGCATCTCTCTCTTGTAGGCATTGTGAACTTTAAGCACACTACAAGCATGTAAGGCGAGGTCCACCCCTAAGATTTCTGTATCTTTGTGTTGTACGCGCTGTGAAGCTTCTAGCGCGAACGTCCACCCTGATATTTCTGTATCTTTGTTATGTAGGCGTTGCTAGCCGTTAGTAACACGACCGTCCACCCTGAAATTCTGCATCTTTGTATTGTAGGCGTTGTGAACTTAAAAGAACACTACAAGTTCGCAACGCGAGCGTCCACCTGGAAATTGCTGTGTCTTTGCATGGTAGGCGTTGTGAACGTCAAGGACCTAAATGTCCAGCCTGAAATTTCTGTATCTTTGTGTTGTATGCATTGTCAACTTTAAAATCAGTAAAAGTTTGTGACACGAAGGTCCACCCTGAAATGTCTGTTTCTTTGCATTCTAGGCATTGTCAACTATGAGCAAACTACATAAGTTTGTTAAAGCATGGGCGCGACCGGGTACGACCTCGTGAAAAACGAGGTCGCACATGGTCGCACCAACGTACGCCTTCGATAACAAAGGATGGGTGCGACCTCGTACACCTCCAAATGCTGTAGTCGAGTACAAACGTAGCACGCGAAATACAATCCCGAGGTCTGGAGCTGTGGGGCCTCCAAAATGCTGATTTCTAGTACAAACGCAGTACGTGGAACGCTCTTCGAGTGGTGGGTCTCGACAATGCAATCTTCGAGTACAAGCGCACTATGTGGAATGCTTTCCCAAGCTATGGGTGCGACCGGGCGTGACCTCGCTAAAAGCGAAGTCGCTCCCGGTCGCACCCACCCTGGCCTCCCCTAGAACAAATGATGGGACCGGGTGCGGCCTCGTAAAGAAACGAGGTCGCGCCCGGTCGCACCCATCCTTCTGCGAAGTCCGGGGCTTGGACCGAGCAGAAACCTATTTAAATTGTAGGCGTCGTGAACCTTGCGGAAACTATAAGATTGTAACGGAAATGTCTGTATGTTTGTATTGTAGGCGCTGTAGTCTGTAAGGACACTAATGCGAACGTCCACCCGTAAACTTCGGTATCTTTGTATTGTAGGCGTTGTCAACGCTATAGACACTACAAGCTTGTAACGCGAACGTCCACCCTGAAACTTCTGTTTCTCTGTCTTGTAGCCGCTGTCGGAAATTCTAAGCCACCCTAGCATGTCGTTATCTTTGGTCTGTAGGCGTAACTTCTAGGACACTACAAGTTTGTGACGCAAACGTCCACCCTGAAATTTCTGCATCTTTGTTCTGTAGACGTTGCGAACTTTAAGGACACGAAGAGCTTGTAGCGCGAACATCCACCCTGAAATTTCTGCATCTCTATATTGCGGCGTTGACGAACTTTAGGGACACTATAAGATTGCAACGCGAAAGTCCACCCTTCAATCGCTGCATCCATTGTAGGCTCTGTGAACTTTAAACACACACGCGAACATCTGCATTGAAAATTTCTGCATATGTGTTGTAGGCGTTGTGAACGTTAAGGACATGTCAAGTTTGAAACGCGAACGGTGTGTCACGTGAACGTCGGCCCTGAAATTTCTGTATCTCCGTATTGCGGCTTGTGAATTTTATGGACATGTATAGTGAACGTTCACCCTTCAATCTGTATCATTGTATTGCAGGCGTTGTCAACACTACATTACAAGTTTTGTAACGCGAACGTCCACCCTGCAATTTCTGTTCTGCGTCTTTGTATTGTAGGCGTTGTGAACCTTAAGGCGGCCTTAAGGACACCATAGGATTGTAACGCGAACGTCCGCCCTTCACGTTCTGCATCTATGTATTGTAGGCGGTGTGAACTTTAAGGACACAATGAGTTTGTAATGTGAACTTCTACCCTGTAATTTCTGTCTCCGTAGTGTGGCGTCGTGAACTTTAAGGTCATGCATAAGTTTGTAACGGGATCGTCCAAAACTCAATTTCTGTATCTTTATGTTGTAGGCTTGTCAACTTTAAGGACACTACACGTTTGTAAGCGAACGTCGTTGTTGTTGTCCTTGTCCTTGTCCTTGTCCCTGTCCCTGTCCTTGTCCTTTTCCTTGTCGTTGTGGTCGTTGCTGTTGTTGTTGCTGCTCCTGTTGTTGCTGTGGTGGTGGCTATTGTTGTGGTTGTCGTCGTCGTGGTGGTGGTGGTTGCTATTGTTTGTTGTGGTTATTGTTGTGGTTGTGGTTGTGGTTGTGGTTGCTGCGGTGGTTGTTGCTGTGGTTGTGGTTGTGGTTGTAGTTGTCACTGTTACTGTCGCTGTCGCTGTCGCTGTCGCTGTTGCTGTTGCTGTTGCTGTTGCTGTTGCTGTTGCTGTTGCTGTTGTTGTTGTTGTTGTTGCTGTTAGTGTTGGTGTTGGTGTTGTTGTTGTTGTTGCATCATCCGCATCAAGGGCAGCAG